AACAGGATTTAATGCGTTTCTATGGGGTTTTTTGTTCCGTTTAGCGACAATTTCACATAGTGACGTTAATCCTGGAACGGATTAACGTCGCTATGCGGGGCACCACTGTTACTGTGGGAAAGTATTCTTTAATGCTGGCAAAAGAGAAGAACAAAGAATAAGCAAAAAAAGAACAGAATAGGGTAGCACTTTTAAAACAATTTTATTTCAGTGTGAGCTTTTGTGTATTAAAATCTACTTTCCCAGCCAATTGAGTTCAAATACTTGACCTGTTTATTTATACATATGTATTTAAATATTCCAGTTTGAAACCTATTAGGGCAGGTAGGAGAAAGATGTGGCTACCCAGCTGTACCACAACACACATCATCCCTCAATATTGACTATACTGGTTATACTGCTGAAAGTTGGAATCTAGCAGTTGGACAAATTCCCAATTAGACTATTTACTTGCAAGTAAAGGAATGTAAGCGGCCTCCCTACTTTGTCTATTTTGGTCTGCTAAGCTGAAACCCTTGATATAATAGGTTTATTATAATAACTTAGCCTAACTGCAGCCATCTTGCCTCTATAATTTGCTTTGCTACATAAATGTGCAAACCTATTATATCAAGGGTTTCTGCTTAGTAGACAGAAATAGACAAAGGAGGGAGGCGGCTTACATTCCTTTACTTGCAAGTAAATAGTCTAATTGGGAATTCGTCCAACTGCTAGATTCCAACTTTCATCAGTGTAACCAGTATAGTCAATATTGAGGGATGATGTGTGTTGTGCTACAGCTGGGTAGCCACATCTTCCTCCTACCTGCCCTAATAGGTTTCAAACTTAATCTTGGCTTAGGCACTTGGGCAGCTGGAACAGAATGGCACAACAAGGACAATTTTGGGATGAAACAAAATCTACCATTGAAACAATAATAGAAATAGTGAGATCCCATTATCAAGAGACAAAATCATTCAATCAACATCTGAAGAATTATAGTCAGCAAGCGACAGGTAACAACGAAGAAGGAAATGGGAGTGTTCCAGATGATGTATGCCAATCAAAACAGGAGCTGGAGGAAATTAGCCTAAGAGAAACGTCAGTCTTGGATCAGAGGAGAGTACTAAGGGAAGACAAAGGGACAAAATCAGCAAAATTAACAAAAAAAAAAAAGGCTGGAAGATCCATTGAAGATAGACCAAGTACATAAAGAGTTAGTGGACATAAAACAGATGTACAAAATGGTTTCAGAGGACATGAAAGATGGCAGAATGCTTAGAGACACAGAAATACAAAGTGAAAAAAGAGAAATCAGAGAGGGAATTACTTAGAAAGATGAAAAAGGGGAAAACAAGAAGGGGCCCCTTAATATTGAAAAATATGTATATATTTAACATCGGGAATTGTAAAAGGGTATAGCCTTTATATTAAAAATGAGAATTAAATTGAAATAAGGGAGCCCCAAACAGGGTAAAGATGTAATATGGTGGTTTTTCATTTTAGGTAAACTAAACTAGATATAAAGCTGGGTCATGGATATGGAACCACTTTCAATAAGACTGTTATAAGAAGACTTTGAAAATATTGTATAATATGAGAGTAATATTATGATACTAAAATATGTACATGAATGGTCTGAATGTTTGAAAGATGTTTGGAATTTGGGGGGACAACCGGGAAGACGGTGAGATGTAAAAACAAATAATTGTAAGCAAAGCATGTAACACGATGTTTGACAAGCACAAACCAATGTAGATAGATTGAAAAACTAATGAAATGTTTTTTAAAAAGAAAGATATAGACAAAGGAGGGAGGTCTAATTGGGAATTTATCCTTGAGCCTGATAAAGAGACCTGGGTGCCTAGTGCGGAACTGGGAGAAATGAATTGTTGCCAATAAGCCTAGGCACCTATAACCCCTCCCTTCCTCTCCTTCTCCAAACCTCCTTTTGCCTCCCTCTTTTCAAAACTTATAAAATGTATACTCTGTAATAAGCGTGCATGCTCTCTTCCACATGTTCAGGTGCTGCGTCCATTATCTTTGCTTCTTTTCAGCTGAAAATAAACAAATATATGTATTGGATCTCCTTGTCCCTGGTTAATTGCACATACTGTATATCGGAAACAGGTTAATGTCCAGAAATTAGTTTTGGCACCCTTCAGCCATGATAAAGAATTATGAGTTTTGTCATTGTTCCAAGAAATCCATTCAGGGCAAAACAGGGTAAAATCTAGTCTTGAGTCCAAAAAATCTCTCAAGTTGGCTTCCACGAGTGGAAGTTTGCTGATGGCCAGTCTGGAGTCACCCTCGTGGCCATCCGTTCAGTGCAGAAGAGCAAAGAACTAAACTACTTCCTTGAAGGGAAGTGATCTAAGGAAGAATGAAGTAGTAACAAGGTCAAGAAGGTCATATATCCAAGGCTACCTGGGAATGTATCAGTCTATTTCCCACCATTGGTCATTTCAATACTACTTTGTGGCACTTATTTTAACACCTGTGGCTTTGGCCAAGCATCTGACAAATGAAAGATGTTGTCATCTCTGTCTCCATTTTTCACCTCTGGGTAAACAAGTAACAGAAGCAGAATTTTTAACAACAATTCCTTTGCTTAATAGTTCTGTACTACAGTACTTGTATGCTGAAGGCACAGGGCCAGTAACTGACTATGGAGCCAACTACAAAGTAAAACTATAAAACACTATATGGTGGAAATACTCCACCTTGATGTAATAATAATCCAGCTACTAACCTGCCTTGTGTTATCTTAAGAACTCTCAAGTGAATAAGAAAAGAAATAATAGCAGTTAGTCTATAACTTTCTTCAGGGAAATAAAATGGGAAAAAAGAAACCGAGGGCCTCCTAAATGACGAAAGCGGCTGGCTTTTATTACTTGTATTAAGAAAAGAAGAAACACATCTTGAGAAAGATCAATCCAAAGGCTAAGCTGTCCATGAGGCTGTAAAATAATATTGTTGCAAAATACATTTGGATTGTTTTGTTTTCCTATGTACTCACTCTTCAACTGTTTTTCATGCCTGTGAAAGCTTATTCAATAATAGCTTTGGAGGCTAGAGTCCTCTGTAGTCACAAATATTGAGAAATACAGATACAAGGTATAGAGACAGGCACACATTTCCAGTCTTTGCTGCTCTCCAGCATTTCTCCATTTTTACCCAGTTGTGACTGCTCTCACTGTGAGAGGATTTTATCTAGTTCAGTATTATTGTTATAGATAGTTAACGAATGTGTTAAGTCATAATGGAAGACTGGCATGTACCCAATGCTGTAATGGAGCCAGGCAGCTCCTCAGAAGAGGCATAACTAGCAGTTTTGGCACTTGGGCCTTCGCTGCTCTTTTGACTAAGTCACATGACTTTGTCATTTGCAAGAAGAGGACAGAGCTCTGGGTCTGAGGGTGCAACAGTCATATTCGTTTGCTCTGACCCTCCTCCCCCTCCCAATTTTGTGTTTCCTTCTTCCTACGGAGAAGCAGCTAGAACAGTATGCACACTTTAGTGGGTGGGTTTGTCACCTTTCTAGGAGCAAATTTTTATGCATCCTCTAAATTTCTGCATCCTGAGTCAAAGCCCTGGTCATCCCACCCTGGATATGGTTCTGTCTTTGAGAGTCAAGGCCCCAAGACATTTTGAGCAGCAGAAACTATAATATCATCTGCCATCCTACTAGGACTTCCCTGTTTCCTCTGAGACAAGCAGCAATCCTTCCAATAGAAGTGGATATGCCCCGTAAATTTATAGTGTTGCAAGCTAACGCTGCTGTAATTTGAACAGTATGTAACAGTGGCTTGGTCTTGTATCGGGAATTAAGAGCCATGGAACTTTACAAGACCTGCTCCTCCTTTGTTTCTATGGACTGATTCAGCTGCCAGTATTTTTGGGCACTCCTTTTCAGGAAGTGGCTATGAAGACTGGCCTGACCAACACTAGCAGTTTAAAATTTCAAGTAACTTTACCCATGTGCTAAGAAAGAGGACCAGAGACGACTAAACGACTCCCTCTATATGGAGACCACTTTAAATTATAGTTGAGTGACCATGATTTCAGCTCAGCCATGCCTCAACTCTAGGGGTTGAACTGTATATTTGGGGGTTGACCCCACATCCTAAACTCAGGATTGCTTTGCGGAGAACACTCACACCTCTGACCCCACATCCTAAACTCAGCTGGGATTGGCTTCTAGCTGCCAATTGCAGTTGGCTTCACCCTGCAGTTTGTTAAGTAATTGTTACTGGAGCAGGTAAAAAATAATCTTGATATAACATGAAGATATAGTCAATCATGGAGATATTAAAAAGATCTTAAGTTTATGAAAACTATCCAGGTCCAATAGTTGCTTTGTCCATGCTATGTGTATGATGCAGAAAACTGAACCAAGAAGAGAGTGAATAAAAAGACTGGTAGGTCGTTAAAAAATCCCGAAAGGTTTAATATTGCAACACGAACTGGGGGCTATTCATCATTAGGGAGCTTTTACGTTACAAGAAAACTTCACTAACCTGCACTTTCATCTCAGAGCCAGGTGCCACCCTACCCAAAGTAACTGACTGGGTTCTTTTTAAACTGACAGCCTCTAAGACAATCCACAGCCCCTGTTATCTGAAAAGCGGGACAAAAATAGCACTGATGACGACAATGATCACTTGCATTCCCATCCCCATGTATTTTGCCTAACTGCTGTTGTTCCAAATGCCCACACTTCACTCAGTACGATTGTGCCTTCATAAAAACCGAGTTCCAATATTGCATCTTCCTAACCATTTATCCAGGCACTGTGCTTATACTGACAGGTAATTCTCTCAGAGGATTGCTTTGCAGAGAACACTCACACCTCATGAATTCTTCCACATTCCATGGTTTCCATGGCAGCAACTGTGGTTGCTGAGCCATCAAGAAGAGCCCCATGAGCCACCAGCAACGACCTCCGCCACCCCTTCGGCCACCACCCCCTCTCTACTTTCCTTCCCTTTATGACCGAACAGCGCAAACCGCCACCCTAGCTGACTGCAATCTCTGGCGGAAGCTTTTTGTGCCATTACGAGGGGGTGACACAGGTTCTGCTGGGCCCCAAAGACCTCCACCTGGGCTGGGGCTTCTCCCCTCTACCAATGATTGCTGCTGCCCAGCACCCTGGCCAGCCGGCCTGGCCCCCATCCCGTATGAGCCACTGCGTTTCTTCTGCTCTGCTACCGAGAGTACTCCTCAGCGTGAAACTGGGACACAGCAGCAGCAGCAGGCCGAGCGGGAGATCTGTGAACTTGGCATCCGCCTGAAGGAGCTGGAACTGCTGGCGCTCACTGGGGATGGCTCAGACCCACAGCAATGTGAGTAATCCAGAAGCTGATCCCAACGCCACTTGATTTAAAAAAATATGCATAGAAACATTCCAAAGTCTCTCAATATTGTAGCTTGAGAATCTGGATCGGTATCTCTGAGTAGTAGTACCTGAAAAGAGGGGGGAAATGAAACCCATCCTCCATTGCACACCAGGCACATCAGTTGGTGTATGATGAGGGATAAAAGCAGCAACTTCTTCACTTGCCCCGGAACTGATGCCCTTCCATTTCCCCTGTCATAGCTAACTAATAGGATTTGGGGAAATGATTAACAGTTACATGATTACATTTTAGGAGTGACAGGTAACTCTCATGTTACTTAGATGTAAGAAGTAACAACTAGTTACTCTAAAAGTTACTTTTAAAATACATTTTAAAGTATTTCAATAAAACTTTTCCAAGTTTTATGCTATCTTTTGTATCTGTGAAGATTCTCAGTCATGCAGGTGAGGTTATCTGGAAGTTGAGTCATGGCAACTGGACTTGTTTCTTATTAGGCTGAAACATTTTGCTACTCATCCAAGTAGCTTCTTCAGTCTGAGGAGTTGGTAAGAGACCCTAATATGTCCTCCATGTTGGTTTCACTTCCCCTTATCTGAATAGGCTCGTTAGATGGACAAAGGAGGGGGAGGGAGTGAAAATCCCATTTCTACAGTCCTTCCCCACACACTGTCATGGGTCATTAATAGTCATTAATAGAGATGGGATATGAATGCGAATACCACCACACAGGTGGATATAAGGAGGGTCCGGCCCCAGGGTCCACTCACCCTTCTGCTGCTGCCACAGACTTCCAGTCGCTCCGGAGCTCACAGTTGACTAGCCACTCCTGGCAGGAGGCGGGACGACAAGCCTCCCTGCCAGATCGGCTAGTCGACTGCGAGCTCTGCAGCAATAGGAAGGGAATGTGGAGCCCACGGCAGCATCAGAAGGGTGAGTTATAGCCACCTGTGCTGGGGTATTCACATATGAATACGAATACCCCCCATCTCTTGTCATTAACAGTCATTAACACTGGTCTTTCTGATGGTGTGTTCCTGATCTTTCTGGGAATAGATGAAAAGGCATCATGATAAACAGGAGACAGATTGTGTCTAAGGCTTCCTCCCCTGTTGAGGGATTTTCTATATGCCTGTGCATGGCTCCCTGATTCCTCTCTCAAACCACCTCTCTCAAACCACAACTTGGTCATCAAATGAATGTCCTTTGTCCTTCAAATGAAGGAACACTGCTGATTGTGGTCCTGAGGCATTGTCACTCCTATGCTGGGCCATTCTCCTGTTTAGTGAAACCAACACAGGAGGAAGTGAAACTAACCTGGAAGATATATCAGGGGCTCCTACCAACTCTCCTCAGACTGAAGAAGCTACTTGGATGAGTAGCAAAACGTGTTATCAGAAAGAGGTCCAGTTGCCATGACTCAACTTCCAGATGCCATCCTTTGATTAGTCCTTTTATGTTTCCAAGGTGCAGTATCATAACTGGCCACTTGAGGGAGAAGAGAATTTTTAACCTGTAATGCTAAGAATTATTTGCATGATTGGAGGAATGATTATGACAAAGGCAAGCAGGCTACTGGGAAGTGATGAAAAACACGATATATTCCTTTCAAAGTGTGTCATTCTGAACTATATAATGCACTATCTAGACAAGCTGTTTTCAATTGGAGCCATATGGCCCCCTGCAGGACTCTGGCATATTTGAAAGGGCCACAGACAGGAAATAACTGTTTCCCACTGTATAAGGTTCATTGTGCAGCTTATACAATCCTGATTTGGCTATATTTCTTTCATATTATGGTTACGGCTGTGGTTAAAAAAAAGGTTGAGAATGGCTGCTTTAGATTACAATGCAAGAACTACCGTATTTTTCCATGTATGATGCCCCCATGTATAGGACGTCCCCAATTTTCTAATCCAAAATTAAGAAACCTAAGTGGGGCTTAGCAAGTGCAGGGGGAAAGGGATCAAAGCGCTGCAGGATCACTTTGATCCCTGCTTTCCCCTCCACTTGTTTTTGTTCTCTCCTCGGCTTACTTCCATGTATGATGCTTTCCCCTTCACTTGTTTTTGTTCTCTCCTCAGCTTACTTCCGTGTATAAGACGACCCTCAATTTTTAGTCTAAAGATTTTAGACAAAAGTATAGTCTTATACACAGAAAATATGGTATTTCTGCTACTTTACGATCAAGAGATGAACATCTGAAGTCTTTCTGAACTTTACACGTAATAGTCAGCTGTGCAATCTAGAAAAACCATTAGAGATCCCAGGACCTAAGCAGAAAAGAGGTCTGTAGAAATCTTGAATGATAATCCCACCCAGTACCTAATTTAGACTGGAAAAAAATGAAAAACATTTGTATCTTTGTAAGCATAGGTACTTTCTTTTCCAACTAACTAGAAACTGATTTTGTTTGTTCCTTTCCAAAGTTTCCAACTAGCAGTTTGACTTGAAAAAAACCTGTTAATAAAGGATAGATCCTATTAACAAATGGACCATTTCTACATGTGCTTATTACCATTTACAAAGACAACAACCAAGGGAAAATCCCAGAAGCTGAGTCCTTTTTTCATTAGTTAATCACGTCTTATCCAAATGCAAAGCAATTGTCAGAGCTATATTTTTTGACAAGTGTGAATGGTAGTGAGCACAGGGTATACTATATGTAGATCATTTTGATTAAATCCACAACTATAAGTTTAAAAAGGGGTTTTAAAATTCTTTCTACCACTAATATCTCAGAGTGAGTTATTGGAGACTGTAAGTGCCAGAAAGGGTGGAATATCTGGAGAATTTGAAGCTGTTTTGCTTTGTGCATCACTGACTTTAATTTTTTCACCCAATTGCTTACTTGACTTTCACAAATACTATAAACTCCATAGATTTTGAATACCAATCTTCCACGAATCAATATTATTTGATGAACCATGTCCCATACATTATGTTCTTTTCTCAAATGTTTGTATATTTGATTGTGTGACTGATATCCAATTAATACCAGATTCCATTCCTTCCTAGATAAGCTTCTAAAGGCACTCAAAGATGAGAGGACTCAAGATGTAAAGACAGGACTGACCTTGAAGAAACATTCACCTGCATCATGAGAGTTATGAATGCCTTGACCTCACATCAACTCTAGTGGACTAATTATGTATTATTTTTATGAATATGCATTTTTCCTACTCTGCTAAAATAGAAATTTAAACCTTCTTCAATTAGCACTTCGTACTTTTGCCTAGTACTATATATTCCAAATACTGTCAAACCCAACATTTCATAGTTGCAGTTTTTAAGAATCTGCATATGTGCATATGATACTAAAATCAGTATTTCGGTCAGCTACACTGTCTGTGTTTCATGGCACTCTGCACTTGTCTTTGCCTTTGGATACTTAGGATATAAATAGTAAATTCAGAATCTCTAGGGTGGGCTCAAAGCTTTATAAACATCATTTGACGATCAGCAGCTAAGTCCATTATAAGGTAGAGTTTGAGAATAAGTGGGAAACATAGAACTGTAAGGGGTTCAAGGTTTGGAAGACTTACTTGGAGAATTTGGAGATTTGGACTCTTTGTCCAAGATCTGGGAAGTTTTAGAAGTTGGATCATGCAGCTGTATTAGGGATTTCAGAAGCTGGCATGTACCAAGCTAACCCAATGATCCATACAGTTTAGTATTATCTATTTAATCTACCTATCTACATCACAGATGTGCAATCTGTGACCCATCAAAGGGCACATGTGCCCTCATTAAGTGTCATGTGTGGGTCCTGATACCTCACTTCCTAATTTTGCTTCCCCTCAGCAGCTTCTGCAATGCTACTAAGCATCACAGACACAGAATTCTCCAGCAGGCTTGCTCCCCCCACCTCATCCCTCTAGCAGCCTTTTTTTTTAGTACTTGTGGCTTTGTGGGAGACTAGTGGTCTGGTCAATTACCTATTCTGGACCTTAAATGGACTGGAGGAGGATTGAAATAGCCTTTAAATGTGCAGTTGTCCTCCCATTCCCAACTCCCTGATACTTCAGAAACATAACTAGCCATTTGTACAACAGGAGAACAATCTGGTGTGGAGATTTAGGGGGCCCATGCAGATGGAAGGCACATGCAGACTACAGACCATGCTTTGCCCCTCCCAACATATACTTAATAATTATACTTACAATATTTTTACCCTGCGTTTCTCCTTAAAGAGGACCTAGGGTGGCTCACATCATTAAAAGATATATGTGAAGATTCTCAGTCATCCAGGTGAGATTTCTGTATGCACATGTATGGCCTCCCTGACTGCTCTCTCAAATTACCTGTCTTTTTGGTCCAAAAGGAGTACATCTTGGTCATCAAATGGGTGTCCTTTGTCCTTCAAATGAAGGAACACTGCTGATTGTGGTCCTGAGCCGTTGCCTCTCCTGTGTTGGGCCATTCTTCTGTTTAGAGGCTGTTTGGTTTCTCCAATATAGAGCTCTGAACATTCCTCTTTGCATATAGTATTTGTACATATAGGTAAAGGTAAAGGTTCCCCTTGACAGTTTGTCCAGTCGTCTTTGACTCTAGGGAGCGGTGCTCATCTCTGTTTCCAACCCATATAGGTAGCGTTTCTCCGAAGACAATCTTCCGTGGTCACGTGGCCAGTGCGACTAGACACAGAATGCCATTACCTTCCCACCGTGGTGGTACCTATTTACCTACTCACATTTTGCATTTTGCATACTTTTGAACCGCTAGGTTGGTGGGAACTGGGACAAGCGACAGGCGTTCACTCTGTCGCGTGGATTCGATCTTACAACTGCAGGTCTTCTGACCTTGCAGCACAGAGGCTTCCGCGGTTTAACCCGCAGTGCCACCACGTCCATCCTATACAAATACTAAAAAGACCAAATAAACACCACACTAAAAAGGTAAACAAAGGCAATACCAAAAACACATTCAAACAGTAAGGCATAATAATTCATCATTTTAAAACCCCTTGGGCATCCAGTTATTCTGGGAAAGCCTGCTTGAAGGGAAAGGTTTTACCTGCTTGCAGAAGGACAGCAAAGATGGGGGCAGCTCAGCCTCCTGTGGCAGTGAGTTCCAGAGTCTGGGAGCAGCAACAGAGAAGGCCCTCCCCCGCATCCCCAACAAACATACCTTTGGCAGGGCCGGAGCTACCACTAGGTGAACTAGGCGACCGCTTAGAGCGCAGACCTGAGAGGGGTGCAAAATGGGCCTCAGAGGGTCGGAGAACTGACTTGAGAGAGGCACAGTTTTCTACAGAATAGTTTCTTGAAAAAAATGCAACTGAAAATTTATATTTTAAAATTTTAAGATAAATACCACAACAGTGCTAGGAAGATAATTATTTAGGAAGTCTTATAAAAATTTTCTATATACTGCAACCCAGGGGTCATTTCATAGAAAAAGGGCTGTTGATACTCTCATTAGCATAACTCATTTGCATATATCAAGCCTAACATCAATGGAAGTAAGCAAAAAAAAACACTAGGTAAATAAAAATAAAATAAATAAGCACTTTCAGAGTTGCCAATACTGCTTACCTTTGAGTCCCCCTCCTGAGATGACCCCTGCTGCGACCCCTATTTCTTACCAATGTCCCATTGACACCAGCCACTGTGATCTACTTCCTGGGGTTATAAGTCATCAAACAGGGCTAAGGGACAGGCAGCAGCAGGGGAGAAAATGTTGGTGAAGATCCTGCAGCTTCCCTCTCCCATTTAGCTTTTGGTCTCTTTTAAGCTACATCCCCCCAGTTGTAACTGGAGACAGAATTCTAGTTTGGGAGGGGCTCCACCAATATTCCCTCTAAACCAGAGTCCCCCAACCCCTGGTCCATGGACCTGTGCTGGTCCGTGGCCTGAGCCAGACCCAGCCATGGAGAGAGACCTCCCACCTACCCCTGCACACACTCCCCCCAGCACAGTCTGTTTTTGCCTACGTGCATGTGTGCGCGCCCGCACAAGTGCTGTGCTGCCCTTTGCACATGCACACAAGCTCAGGGGTGCCCCGCCTCTTCCAGCCAGTCCATGGGCCTAAAAAGGTTGGGGACTGCTGCTCTAAGCCAAGAATTTCTTGTGAGCAGAAATTCTACCTTGTGACCTCTGACCTGGAAGATCTACTATCTCTTGCTCATGCCAAAGCAGTTTGAGTATGGAGCACAAGAGGATACACCACAAGATCCAAAGCAGAAATTCAAAATAAGTTTCTATTATGCTGTGTTAGACATGGCCATACAATCTGTTGAAGAGAGATTCCAACAGCTATAACAATATACAGTGGTGCCTCGCATAACGAGTGCACCGTTTAACGACAAATTCACATAGCAATCTAATTTTTTTCTGGAGGTGACTTCCTGCTTCGTTTTGAGCAAGCTGCACGTAAAGATTAGCAAGGAAAGGAGAGCAAGATATATAGTTCTAGTTTTTAATTTCAGGCATGTATCCCTAAGGACATGACAGATTATCTAGATCCTTCTCAAGCAGGACGCCTGGTGATGTGGATTTCTTGATCTTGAGTCAGATGTTCGGTCCAGTTCAGGTGAACTGATCTAGACTGAATTTGGGTCTCATCTGTATCACCAAATCAGGACTTCAGTTGAATTAGGGCTTTATGCACAGCCTCACTGTGTAGTTCTGAATACATACCAGCAGAGAATTCTATTTAAAAATTAATAATCCTTGTAAACCGCTAGGTGGCAGCATGCAACAGCATTACAAGGTTTTAACATTTTGCCACTACAAAACTTAAAAAACAAACCTGTTGCAAATCCTGCCCCTATTTATGAATCATTTGGCACCCTCATTTTATACAGCATGTTTTATCTTCCACTTAGCAGCAGAGCCTGCTAAAGAGCTCTACTCTGACTTCTATGCATTTGTTCAACTGATCAGCGGCAGCACCTCTCCCACTGAAACCAGGTTGAAGATGGATAAAGAAGAGCTTTGAAAATGTACTTTTTGGCCTATAATTCCCAGAACAGCTATGTCGGTTATGGATCTGGCAGCTATGTTCCAAAAAAAAGAAAAAGAAAAATAACTTTCCCAAACTTTATGCTGAAAATCCACCACAACCAAACAGTTTTAGGAGGGCATTAATATAATGACTCATTTTATACCAGGACAGAACACTTGTCCATCCAGCCTAGTTCTGTTCCATTCCCCGTGGCTGGCAGCACCTTTCCAAGGTCTCACAAGGACGGACGTTTTTCCTCTTCTCTTTTAATCAGAGATATCAGAGAAGACATAGTATTACATGAGTCCTCAAAAAATTCTAGGTCTACATATCCTTCGGTCTCTTGTCACTGTATGTTTTGCGCTCATAGTTTTTTTTTCTTCCCACTGCATTTTTTGTGACTTTAATGCCAGTTGGACCAAAAACCAACCAACAACAAATCTGAAGCTATTTTTCAGTCATTCAACCTCCCTTTCTCCTTCACCAGGTCTTGGCAGGTTTCTGTTTCATTCCTCAATGGCATAGGCCATTTTCATTGTAGTAGCAATAGTAGTTATGTGTCATCAAGAACCAACTTATACCAGCCCTAATGGGGCTTTCAAGGTAAATGAGCTAATCAAGGATTGATTTGACCAGTTCCACAACCCCAGTCAGTTTCTATAACTGAGCAGACATTCAAACCAGTCCCTCACTCTATCCACTTTACCACACTGGGTACCCTGTGTGTATGTTTTGCACCCATAATATTCAAAATCACCAGCTTAAAATCCTGCAGAGTGGGGAAAAGAAGCAAATTTCTTCCTCCCACAATCAGAAGCAGAATGTTTTCTGCAAATCCTGTCATGAATTGATATATCATGAAGAGCTCATTATTTATATGACGTAATACAGTATTTGACTGTATTTTTCCTCACTAGCAACTAGTTTTTAGCAACAGACATGTTTTAACTGAAGTAACAGTCAAAGGAGCAGCAGAATATTCACTCTGGCCCCTGACATATGTGCAAGTGAAATAAAACATAGATAGTCTCTTGAGACAGAGATCCACCACCCCAAGGTAGCTAAAACAGGAGAAGATGAGAAGATGATCTAGATCCATTACAGGTCTTGTTATGGGACAGAGACTGCTTTGGTCACCCTCATGAATGACCTATACCAGGGACTGGACAGGGGGATTGTGTCCCTGTTGGTCTCATGAATGGCCTATACCAGGGACTGGACAGGGGGATTCTGTCCCTGTTGGTTCTGCTGGACCTCTCAGTGGCTTTCAATACCGACCATGTTATCATTCTAGGCTATTTCCCTGTGACAGGACTTGGAGGCACCGTTTTATGGTGGCTCCA